ATAATGTGTTCGTGCTTGTAATGTTGTTGTAAGTGAAATAAAGATGATGTTGTCCCCCGTACAATGCGCTGTCCTGATGCAATACGGATGGCACCTACGCAATGCATTCGTCCACTGTACGCAGCTTATGCACAGGTGCAGATTCAGGTGCAGATCAGCATATGAACCGCGTGTCCATCCCGTACACACAGCGTACTCATACCGTGCTTGACCAAAGAACTGCGTATTAAAAAAGCATGACCTGCGTAACAGCGTACGCAGCGTAGTTTTGGGCATGCTGTGCGTATGCCGGCGTTCACAAAATTTAATCACAACGATTGAGATGCATATGAAGTGCGCAGTTTGCGTACGGCTGCGTATGGAAAAATTATCCGTACGCAACTCATACGCAAGACGATTCAAAGAAGTGTAGCAGGGCCCTTACTAGCCGCCCTGTCGTCTTCCGCGGCCCGTTTTTTTGAGTCCTGTCTGATTGTAGCTGCAGATGTCTTCTTCTGTGCCTTCTGGTGCATCCTGGAGACGGGTTGGCAGTCATCCTTCAAACTGCCTTTATATACTGTAGAAAGCTGGTGCGTTTCACATGCGTGGTACGTCAGGAGCACCTAGTACGGTACAAGTGTGTTCTGCCTAGTCATTGAGCAGGTAAACTGGGAGTGCGGAGTAAGCACGGAACACGCATTCAATGTGCGCGGCACGCACGTGCCACGTGCGCTGTACGTACAGCAATTGCCCGAAAGAACAGTTACGCTTCATGCTTCAGGGTCACGCAGGCGGCCCTACACTGGACAGCCTCCAGCGCCTGTATTCCTTCCATAGTGTACAGGTCCCAGACGGTGGCACTGTATTCCAAGTGGGGCCGTACCAGCGCTTTCTAACAAGTGGCCCTGACCCTAGATGGACAATGGGTTAAGTTGCGCCGGATGACCCACAGAACTCTACCAGCTTTACTAGTGGTGTGGTTAATAAGGGTGTCCCACCGCAAATCATAGGACAGATGTACTCTGTGATATAAGGGTGGGATTTGACACCGGTTACAACTTCGTTACAAAGAGAATATTGTGTTATGATGGGGCGTCTTTTATGGGTTATATGTAATATGTGACACTTGGAGGGGTTGATCGACATAAGCCATTGGTTCTGCCATCCCGTTAGAGCGTCGAGGTCAGACTGTAGACCTTGAGCGTCAGAAGTTTTATTTCGCAACAAAGATACACTTGTGCAAACCTGGGATGATTTCTCAATACTTGTATCATGCTAACTGCGATATTATGGCGTCATAATCAGTATGAAACGGGGGCCTTTGATTGGTCAACAATCAATTAATGAAGGTCCTCTTTTATCGCCCGTCTACATTTAATTTTTATTTAATTTTATTTATTTATTTATCCAAGGGCAGCATATCGCCAATGGCGGTTTTTAACGCTCCCTCCACAGAACATACATAATATAATAACAGTAAAAGTATAAAGCATCTTTAGTACAGTCATAATCGTCGTAATAACAAAAGAAACACAACAAACTAATAACGTACAGAAAACAAACTAAATACAAATTACAAATGATGTAAATGATATTGAATTTTACTTAAACTACAATTTTATTAAAAAAACTACGTACTATATGTTGTTTATAGAGAACTGCTATTCATTAAATATCACCGCTCTTCTGTTAGGTGAATGCTAACTTTGATATTATCAATATTTTATAAACTTGTTGTTAACGTGATGTCTAACATCATATGCAGTTTCGCATTATATACTTGTCTGAGGTTTAGAATTTTCTTGTTGTTTTTAGTGTTCAAGTAACCCACCAATAGGTTGTTCTAAACGTATACGGTTAAGTAGGTTCTCATAATTAGCTTTTTTTCCTAAATTAAGGAAGGCTTACCTTTTATTGTGGTTTCCATCGTTGGTCTGTACAAAAGCAGTCGGGTCGGCTGGCCGCCATTTGTGGTATGTCACTATAATGGCAACCATAAGCACCGTCACTAGCACAAGCAGCAGTACCTTCTTGCGGGTGAAGCGGACCTTGCAGTAGAAACTCATATCTTGAGTGGTAATGATAATTTGTATTAGTACGTGACACCGTTTTTGATTGTTAGGGCAGACAACGCATTGCTAGGGCGGTATCAACTTACGTAGGTTTGTTACTATGGTATTTTTTCTGATTGCTAGGGCCGGGCGTTCGAAAAAGTATCGGGTTACAAGACGCAATTTTGGACTAACTGTAGACTAACCGTAAAACATTCGAAAATAAAATAAAGCCCAAATCAACACAGCCGGAAAGCCACGTACTGAATCGAACGCTTTTCGAACGAGTTTTCTTTGCAGAGCGTATCACTCCGCCGTCCATAGCAACGCCGTTGCTAAGGACGACGTTTTCGCGGGCGGCGGGCTGAAATTTCATCCGAGTTGTTGACAGCCGATTACATCACCAGTTTCGGCCTCTGCATCAAGATGGCGGTACGTATCAGATGTGTATATCATGTGCTCTCTGTACTAACCATATTTGAGGGGTATTCTATGAGTTTTAGTGTAGTTTTGTAATCAAACTCGGTGTACAGTGAAATGAACAAAATGGCCGCCCTGGACTGATCTGAATTTTCGTCTCATTTGAATTTCGGGGGAAACCCGTTTCGCACTTGATTTTGCATATGACGATATGTGGATAAAATGTGTTGAACCTTTGGCTTTCGCCCATTATGAATATCCTGTTGGTGCGAAGTCTGCATATATTTGCAATTCCATGCCAACTGGGGTCACTTTTTTCTGCAATTTTAGGGCTAAACCTCATCGTTTGTCGTTTGACTTTATTTTGGTCAATGTTGAATAATTTGCGTATATGTGCTTCATTTCTTGTAAACATCATGTTAGTGGTTAAATCGTTTCCGGTGAACTAATCTAGTCTAAGTTTAGACCCAGACTCTTAGTCGTTAGATCTTTACGAGGACAGATTGAATTCTTAATACTGTAGTTAATGTTGTACTTGAGTCTTATCGATCACGAACTTTGTAAAAGAAATCATCCCTTCTGTGTGTGTTTGTGCAAAAAATTCCCGCCAACTTTATCACGTGATGTCTTGTTGTCATACAAGAACAACAAAGCTGCATGACTGCTGCAAATTGTTACAATGTCTTGTCATAGTGTCTAAAGTTACAGCAAAACAAGTATTGTACCTTCTATCTAGTGCTCGATGATATTAAAAAAACAGTGCACAATATACCGTACATATATGTTTATATGCAGCTTGTGACATTTGTAAAAATTATAAATGGTTGAGCATGTATATCATTGATTATTAAAATAAAGCTAACATTCATTTCAGTATTGAATTAGGAAAAAGATGTCAAGGGGAATTTTTATTTCTGTTTCAGATCATCCTAGGCTTCACCGACTGTAAAATTGGTAAGTATCTGGCAAACCATGTCAAACTCTCTCCTGGCATCTTTAAAAAATTAGTAGGAAAATTTAAAGAAAAGGACAAGGACAAAGTGGGAATGCACTTAGGTTATACAGTCACTTACTTTGATAACAGCCCCACTTGACACTTAACACTAAACAAGTACAACCAATACAACTAAGAATAAAAGAACAAAATTGTGCTAGTGTTGGAGTTTGAGGAAGACCCTAGCCCCTAAAATCTACCTCAGATAGCATTGCACCAGGTTTCTTGTAAGGTTGGAGAAATCTTTTTCGAAAGTAAACCAATACTTCTTGTGGATGCCTGTGATCTTTATGTAGAAATGTAAACAAGTTAAAGAAAAGATTTGAATGTAAAAGTCAAAGTAATGTACTGATTATGAC